TAAGCATGGCTTCTTATATATCTTATATATATGCTGATATGTGTAAGCTGGTCTGCATTGCTTTAACTTGCAGCAAGCAATTCTTCATTGCACCTGCATGTGGAAATAATAAACAGAGCAATGTTAATCAAACAAAACAATCAAAAAACCGTCTGTGCTCCACCCCGTCAAGTAACACCTGCTGTAACAAACGTTCCTACCTAAATACCCACCGCTGCCTCATAAATGTACCACACCCCCTTGTGGACCAACCAGCATCCAACACACTCACCTAAACATACACACCATCAAAATGGCCATTACACTCTTTATTCAACATTTATTTTGTCACTCCTTTTTTGCTTTTATTTTATTTATCTTTTTTTTGGCCTTTGTTTATATGTTGAACCACATCCTAGGGAATTCCACCCGCGCATTTACCACACATGTCTGTGCAGTGGGGCTCCAACCTCCGGTCTGTGAATATTAGAGGATTCTAGGGGTTTTTCTACACAACTGGGAGCGGTCTCTGTTTTAGGAACCTCTGTTCCAGGACGTTGTAACCCACCACTATTTCTCTTTTCACGTTTCTCTTTTCTCTTTACTCTGAAGTTTTAAAAAAAAATGCACTATTCAACTGTCATTTTGGACTAGAACACATACTCACTCTGTGACAACCCCAATTTAGAATTTCCAATGGCAGAACTTTGATAGAACGGGTGTCTGCTTACCTTCTTTGTTTTGAGACGGCCATCTGAGTTGTCAAACAGTGATGGATGTTCGCTGCGATCCTTCTGCAATTCTCTGGACCTTAACGTCTCCGTCTTCATCATGTCAGGGTCACCAAATTGTCGGAGCTGATCCCAATCTACCAGAAATTAAACTATGTGTGAGATAGCTCCTGCGCATTCGTTTAATGAAGCAATAGGAGAAGATGTTTAGGTCTCACTCAATATATTTATTTATCAGATAGTTGAATAGGCAGACAGAGCTCTGGATCAAACTTCTCACCCTAGCATCAACAAAGTTAATGTCAGGGCACGAATTCTGGCTGACTGCCTCTCCCTGATCCAGTGTACTTATGCTATTACATAAGGATGAGCACAGAATGTGTTGCAGCTAGCTGATTGGTTCCTCCGTGTCCTTGGGCCTTCTTCAGCTATCTCGTGGGTGCAGAAACTTGCCACTCAGCACCCAACTGTTAAGCACCTTCAGTTTCTCCCTCCTGCAGATACCTGCTTGTTACAGAGAAATATACACAAACCACCAAATCCTGTTTCTACCTACGTTTTCTCATGCTGCAACTGTTTATGAGTTATGTTGATTATACCTTATGATAATAATAAGAGATTATCAAAACATGAATATAAAATGTATGATCCTAGCAGCAGGAAAAGCAGAGGTGACTGAAATTTAAATCAGTACTTTAAGTCTGTAGATCCCTGCACAGCTGTGAATGTTACATGAAGTAAAGCACACATTCAAAGTTGTAGACTTTGATAATTGAGCAGCTGATTGGGTTCACTGAGTTTGGGAGAAATGTAATTTACTTAATTTAAGATAGAGCTCTTTAGCGTTTTTTTTGTTTGTTTGTTTGTTTTTTAAGGGGAGTAAGAGTTTAGTTATATCAAGAGTTTCATCTTATCTGCAAA